TTTAGCTAAAATGCGTGATACGAGGATTTGGGTTGAGGGAGAATGCAACGAGTCGCTATATAAAGCAGCCGCAGCGCCGCTACCTGCATATAAACCGTGTCGCGGACACCCCCATGTTGAAATGACGCTATGCATTACGGGGCTCCCAGGGGCAGATAAGAGTTGGTCTCTCTCCGAGAATAATTATGAATTTAACAATGATTACTGCCTGATGACATTTTCCCACATCTGCAAAGCTCACTGGAAGGACACAAACTGAGGACAATATTTTCCTGATATAGGGATTATTACTCAAGTAAGGGTAAAAAAGTATCTGATTAGAAGGCTACTTGAGTACTGAGTATCATCTGATCTAATATTTTTAAAATGATGACATCAAACAGACATAAAATAAGAAGTTATGGGCAAATATTGGTATTTTAAAGACTAAAGGGGAAAAATGTAAACAAATAAACAACATAATTACAAAATAACACATTTTAGGCAAAATTTAGACACAAACTGAGGACAATATTTCCTGACATACAGGGTTTATTTAATTGTGTGAAAATGTAGCACGTTTAAAAAAAATACCGCGATAATACCGAAAACCATGGTAATTTTGGTCACAATAACCGTGAGGTTAAATTTTCACACCGTGACAACCCTAATACAGACCATTTTAGATTAGGTTACATTTCCTTTATTCCCAGATTATGTAGTTTGTAGCACTCATTATAATGTTGTAGAAAATTTCTGGCCAATCCACGTGATCGGTATCGGTGATCGGTATCGGTGATCAGCATTCTTTGATATCGGTATCGGTGATCGGCAGCAAAAAACCTGATCGGTGCATCCCTACTATCGATGGCAGCTGAAGTTTAAATGCACAAAAGTAAGCCATAAATACAGTTTCCACTATCAAAGTAGTCACACTTTGTTGATCCAAACACTGCTGATCTCTCAACACAAATGATGGGCAGATTAAAGAGTTCATGCCGATGCTTCTCCCACACAGCGGGTGTTTGGATCTAACTTCCGCGTTTATTGCTCGGACTGTATTGCAAGATCTCGAAAATCCCGCGCATGCTTGTTTGCCCACCTCAGGTCTCCGCACCAGAGCGGAGCCGTTGTAGAGCGGGTACCAGTAAAAATTGAGTTCGGAAGCGAGCGGCTGCGGAAGGCGGGGGCAGACCAGAGCGGAGCGGAGCGAAGCGAAGGTAGTGGAATTTGGGGGTAATGACGCTACCGTCAAATATAATGAATAAAATCTAAACACACACAGCCTAGTCAGAAATAAAATCTAATGACGCTACCGTCAAATATAATGAATAAAATCTAAACACACACAGCCTAGTCAGAAATAAAATCTAATGACGCCGTCGAATATAATGATTATAATAAAAAAATAAAGTTGTAGAAGAGACCCTCCACAGCTCACTCCACCACCACCCCGGACAGTGAGTCCAAGTCAGCTTTGGTTAGGCGATCGTACACCGGAAAAATGTCTTTGTGAATGGGCATCACAGCCCTGAATCCGTGCAGCTGCATCACAGCCATGGTGAACAGAATCTCAGAGTCCATAGGCTGGAAGCCGTGCAGACTGAGAAAACTTTGAAGAGCCGGAATCAGTTTAGGTGTTAAAACCCTGCGAATAATGTCCGTAAAGTGAAAATCGTAAAATAATTCATTTTCAGCTACATAAAGACATTCGTGTTGCCGTTGACTGGGGTGATTGATCTTGCATCCGTGGCAGATGGTAGGTAAGTGAGCTTTGATCGCCATGTTGACCAAGTGAAGAAGACCAATTTTCACACGGTCTACTTTGTCTTCTGAAAACACCCAGTCAGGCAGACGGTGAGGCTCCTCATCTGTGCTCTGGATGTCGAGGGGTTGCACACCCTCCTCCTCATGACCAGGCGGCGGCTCAGGGTTTGATGTCACCGAAGGTTGATCAGCATCTGTACTCGCAGGAGTATCGTCGACCCAGGGCCTGAATGGTACATTAGCAGAGACGTTCTCCGGAACCTCCAGGATGGTGGGGAGTCGTGGTAGGTTATCCTCTGGAAAGCATGGTGGCGCCGATGTGGGCCTCGGACTGCCATTGTATCTCGGCGGTGATGCCTCCGGAAAGCATGATGACGCCGCTGTGGGTCTCGGACTGCCGTTGTATCTCGATGGTGATGAAGCCGTTAGTACCCAGCTCGGTGGCGGGCTCCATAGGTCATCAAGGCTCGTCTGATTGTAGAACCCCATCATGCTGATGCCTTAGATCGTCTGGATGAAATGGTTTCTAATGGTGTCTTGTATCTTCTCAGCAGTGACATGACCTTAGCAGGCGCTTTGTTTTGCGAATTTGGTACAACAGACTTTGTATTTTTCTGGGTATTTAGTGAAAGCTACACAGTGGACATTCTGCTCCTGCCCTCATGGTCAGACAGTGTTTTGCCACCCCCTCATAGTCAGGGAAGCAACTGTAACACTTGACCATCTGTCAGGAAGCAATGAGCTCACACTGATCCAACAAGCCACAGAGGCCAAGGGTCAACAGCAGGGACAAGGACAACATTTTACTATGTTTAGAAAACTGAAGTGCATCAAATAAACCTACGGAATGAATGCTGATTCTGTGCACTAAGATTGTAACTACAGTGACAATTCCTGTCAACGCCTCAGATCATATCAATTATCACTACATTTTACATTACAGGTCAAAGATAAAATCATAGCAGTGATATTTGAGTAAAAGGTCAACTTTACTCATACTTGTAACACATTTGCAGTGGTCACTATAGTAGGAATGAGTGCTTTATTGCTTTTCTCAGGAGAATAAAAAGCTCAGATACTCTTGCTTGAGGACAGAGAAGTCAGCTGGAGGAGAAAGTAGTTAAGGCAGCAGGATTTGGAGTCTTGACATCATGCCTCTGCTTGGCTAACAGAAACACGACTCTATCTCTGACTGTTTTGCAACGTTGATATTTTATCTCCACAAATAACTCCAGCCTGAAGGAGTTCTGCTGTGTTATGGAGTTGCTAAAGCTAATAGTTAGCTTCTAGATGTCCTATGCTGCTTTCTGGATGCTAAAACAACAGCATTCCCCGTCAAGAGTCAAGATGGGTGAGTAGTGTAGTAGTGGTGTGATGTAGATCTGTCAGTCTTGAACAGAGTTTTTTTGCTTCTATTTTCTATCCGAAGCTAATGCAGGAAATAGAAAACTATTTTCACGTTCAGCCTGCATGTTAAACACAGAGCGACTGATCATTTCCAAAACAAAAGAAGAAAAAAGACCTCCTTAAAGAGCAAGTAATGTCTAAATTAACTTTTTTTTTTGCTGATGAACTGTATAAATGAGTGTCTAATAGTGTTTTAAATGTGTATATTCATTATTTTAGCGTTTTGGTGCATTTTCTTTAAAAATTAAAAATTCAGCCTAAATACCACAGTATAGCACCACCTTCAGCTTAAAACATAGAATTTGAGTCATTTTGAATAAATTTTAGCCAATGGCTAAAGAGTAAGATACTACGTAAACCAGTAGAGTACTACGTAGCAGCTCTGTGTCAAAGTTATAAAAGCATCGAGAGTCTCGGCCACGCCTTGTGGCGAGTTGGGAATTGGATTTGCAAGCGAGTGTAGGAGGTTAGCCGTAGTTCAGCATCAGCATATAGCATTAGCATATCCTAGTCTTTAGCATACCTTTCAGTGTTATACATACTTATTTAGTGTTAGCTTGTTTGTTGGATATTGTAGTTTAGTTAGTGTTTGGCTGTTAGTGTAATTAGGAAAGTAATTCAGGTTAAGTGCTCCATATCGTGTTAGTATGGTGAGAAGGTGTAGTGTAGTGTGGTTGCGGTGGCTCTGTGGGGTTGCACTCCTTTCCGCTGGACTTAGAAGTTAGGCGCCAGTGGTTGCGCATAATCGGTGTCTGGAAAACAGTCAGCTCCCGCCTATTGCTGTAGTTTGCAACCAGCATTTTACCCACGATTCTGCATGTCTCCGTTTGAAGAGGGAGGCTGTGCCCACTGTGGCTCTTCCGCGATTTAGATGCAGCCCACCGACTGTGCTCCCCCACCATGGCGCGCTCCAGTCTGAGGTGAGTAAGCTAAATAAAAGTTTTGACATCTTCTAAAGACAATTCCCTACCTAAATGCAAAGTTTGAGAGACATGGTTCACTCCCTTTAGCTAATATCAGCCTGCACTGCCTTTGGAACGGGATGGTTAGAATCAGCGGCAAATCGGAACATGTCTCGAAGCCCTGGCCAACAAAACGGTCCACATGACTATTACTGTCAGGCTCGGAGAAAATTCGGGTTGCTTTTGTGTCAGTCGGTAATTCTGCAACAGTGACTAACGCAGCACTAGTTGACAGACAGCATTACAGCGTGAAATCCATCTTGTGACCCGGTTCCGGGAGGAATTCTGTTCAGGAGGTCGCATTTCAGGCTCTCCACATCACATGTGACTGACTTTTACGTTATAATAACGATCACAAACTAGGAATGTTATAAAGCGCCTATATAGGACAGTTTCTTTTGTATATTATCTGACTTTATAAACTCCAACAACAATGTGCTTCTATTTTTTTTTCAGGCTAAATCTACCCAAGACACTGGCTGTCAGACTGATTTAGTAGTCTTCAAGAATGCACTTGTCCAGGCTGACGTGAAGCCTTACCCATAGCAAAGGTGAATTATTTTTAATAATCTTCTATGTAAACATTTTATTATTACCGACTAGTTTTAATTTGTTTTACAGATTATTGTTACACGTGATTTTATGCTCTTTTAAACATTTATAAATGTGCTACTTCTTTGTTTTTTACATAGCCACCCAGAATAGAGCTCACACCCGCTGTGTGTCTTGTGACACGGGGACCATGATGGAAATTCATCTTCCAGAAAGTCCCAGAGCAGCGTCCACACCCCTGAAAAGACCAAGATGTGAGGTGTCTGCTGTTGATTCCAGCTTCTACCTCAGTGACAGTGCAAGCTAAGAGAACTGTTCAAAGTAAAAAAAAAATTAAAACATTTCAGAATTTTTAAGATATTAACAATTAAATAAGTATGTGATTACATCATGACATCATGAAGGAGGCTACTGATTCTGGCCCTGTGACACTTGGTGGTGACGTGTGAGCTGATTCACCTGGTAAATAACTTTTAAATTTAATATTTTATTTTTGCTATCAAAAGTAAATTAACAATAACCTGCATTATTGCAGGACACTCAGCAAAATATGGACTCTACACCATGAGGCAGGCACACGTTAATACTCTATAAGAGCACATAAGGTTAGCAACACCACAGATTATTGTACACTGTCCTGGATTTGTTTTCTTTCTGCATGATTTGTTTTCTTTCTGCATCTCATTAGCCTGGCTGATCACCTGATAACTCCTGTCATCTGGTTGTGACAGCATGAGGATGTCCTCACACACCTGTAACCTATCAGCTCATCTGGCAGAATAGAGAGAGAAGAGACAACACCACATCTCCTGTTCCTGGAAAGCCTTCAGCCATACTTCGATGACTGAGAACCTCCATCAGCTCTGTCTCCTGTCTGCCTACAATTATTATAATAAATATTGTGTTTGACAAGTTTTTTGTGCTGCCAAATATCTCATTTTTATTCCAGTTGTGATATTTTAATGGATATTTATAAATTACATTAATTGAATTATCACATTGTTGCATGTTTAACTAGCTCTAATGTGATGAATTAAACTAGCAGCTCACTGTGAAAAGCTCGTTTTAATTTCAAGCATGTTTAAGTATTTATGGACATGAACAAAAACAGGAAATATATAAATTGAGATTTATTTAATTAACATAACAAATAAGGGGGAAAGAATCATTGAAAGGCACATTCTTCTGGAAGCTCCTGATCCTGACGACACCAGCGGAGACCAGCTGCAGACACCAGAGGACCTAGAACCAAGAGAGCAGCTGTTATCAGTAAATAAATAAATCCGGGCAGTTTTAGTGGGCTGAACACATTACAGAATAATTTTCTCATGGGGTATTTTCATACATTTCTATGCAGCAGACTGTAACTTGAGCTCCTGGAGAGCTGCTATCCAGCACGTTTCAGTGGTTTTCCTGCTTTAACAGGTTAGATTAGCTGTTAAGCAGCTCAGCTATTTGTTGCTGAATAAAACCAGGTGTGTTGAAGCAGATAAACCTCTAAATTATGCTGAATTCTAGCTCTATTGCCCTGGAGCCAAACCCTGCAGCTAATCTGACGCTATGGTTAATGGCTACTTACCATTCAGAGCTGGTTCTGTTGGGTTGGTTCCGGTAGTTTAAGGCAACTCACAAGCTCAAAACAATAAGGCTCAGGTCCGCTTGTCTCCTCCAAATAGACTTGGTCCCTTTCTTCTCGAGTGTCTGGGTAAGGAGGGGGAGAAACGTCCTCCACTTCCAATAACTGCTCAGAGTGAAGGGAGCTAGCATCGTCTAGTTAGCTATCGTCTTCGTCACTGCAGCGGCTCCGCCCCCTCGGTCCTCCAGGCAACGCCTACTACAGGGTGTCCGCGGGGTTTTAAAAAGTATTAAAAAGTGATAAATAAAAATAGTCAAATTTAAGGCCATTAAAAGTGTTAAATTTGGTCTCAGAGGTATTATTTTTTCCAAGTTAGGTATTATTTTTTTCAGACTATCAGGTGTCGTATTCTGAACATCGACATAGAAATATATTCTGAATGAAATGTTTTGAACGATTATAAAAATAAAACAAGCCGATTATTTGCTCCTCCCACTTGAGCTGCCCTGAGTTACAAATGAAGCGCTCCGTTGCCAACTTAGCGACTTTGATGCTATTTCCAACAGCTTTTCAGACCCCCTTCTTGACGTTTTAAATCTTAAAAGTACCTAGCGAACACCTCAGAAACATCTCTGGTAACCCTTAGCTACTTTCTGGATAACTATCGTCGACATTTCCTGCTGCAGGTTAGCTAAACACTCCGCCTGCGCTCCGGACCGTTCTTCAGGACATTAGGAAAGGGAATGATGTAGTGATGTGTCAGTCGCTAAAGAAACGGCTCTCGGAGCCGGCTCCCTGTTGGAGTAACCAGAGTGAGTGACACACACACCGTACCTGCGGGCTCCTGAGCCACTAAAAACGGCTAAGTGTGCGCGTGCGGCGTGCTAAACACACATGCAGCTTGCCCCGATTGCTGTGAGTCCGGGTTGGGGGGTGGGGGGTGCAGCTGTGGTTGGGACAATTATTACATTAACTGATGGACTTGTAAATAAATAGTTTATAAATAAGGTAGAAATAAGTTCCTCACGCTGATAACTAATAACTAATCTCTCTGAGGACACGGTGCTAGAGCACTCTCCTACAGCACCTTGACATGACTCAATAAATGCTATGCAACATTTTGTGAACATCAATTTATTTGCATTTATTTGTTATAAATGCCACTGTATAATTCTTGCTGTCAGTATTTGCAAGATATTGGTATTTGGGTCTGTACGGGTTAGACTTAAATGAGTTAAACCAAGGTCTACAGCCCTTGGGTCATAAACTATGAGCTATAAGTATATTGGTCTTTTTATACTGGGAATCAGGAGTTCTTTTAGTGATCATCTTGTTTCTTGTTTATTTTTGCCCTGATTGTGCCCTGAGCAGTTTTATGACTGAATAAAAATAAATTAAAAAAATCTACATAAATTGAAAAATCGTCTTAAATAATCGAGATCTCAATTTCAGTCACAATAATCGTGATTATTGTTTTTGCCATAATTGAGCAGCCCTACTTTAGCATATCCGGTCACATTATGATGACGTCATATTCAGTGGTCGTTCTGCATCATTCAGGCCCCGTGGTCAACTGTCTGAACCGCTGAAAAGAAGTGCCTGGCTTATTTTCTAAGTAAAATAAATATGCGCAATACGTTGTCAACATCAGTGAGTCTCTAAGTCTATGCTTTTTGAATGTTATATATGTTAAAATATGTGTAAATAGGTCGCTGATTAACACTTGCAATTTAGTGTTGTGACGGTTTTAAAAAAATTCTGAAGGTAGTAAAAAAAAGTATTAAAAAGTAGTAAATTTTACTTAAGGATTGCTGTATATACCCTGTACTAATGTTGCAGTTTTTAAAATTGATACGTGGGTGGAGTAAGACTCTGAGAGGGACATTACCACTTCTTTAATTGTGTAAACAAGAAAAATGTCATTGCACTGTACATGTATGTAGTTCAGCTTCATTAAAAAAAATCTCGTAAAAAATCATAAACTGTCAAATAAATTAACAAATGTCAGACCTCTGGAATGCGCCACCTTGGTGTATGGTGAGATAAAACAATAATAAAAGCCTTTCAACCTTTACATCCACACCTTCACAGTAATATATTCCACTAATTTGTTCCGCTTTGTGATTAACAAATAAAAGAAATACTTAATTGAAAAATCTATTTCCAGCTTCTGCGTGCCTAAAAGACACCAGATTTTTCTTTCAGTAGGATTTTCTTTTATCTATGTTGGCAATCTATTTGGAACATAAAAAGAATTTTAAAAAGCTCTTAAAGTTATTAAAAGTTATTTTCAAAAGAGACTTTAAACTGTCCATGACAGCAGGAAACTTACTTTTCCCCTTGACTCACAGAATACATTGCGTCACTGGCATATGCTTAGACAAAAAGCCCCTCGCATTAACTGGAGATTAAAGCCTGGCCTGACCAAATGGCCCTATTTACCCACAGATTCTGTTTCAATTAGCACAAAGACAGCTATGAAAAGACATCCATTACCTCCCACAGCATGTTGTCAGTGGCGTCAGCGAAGTGGGAAGAAGAGGGGAAAAAGATTGCTGTCCCGCTACTCTTAAGAGACCATTTTGTTCCAAACAGAATTGCTCTGCTGCCCTTCTTTAGCTCTGACACATCAGCCATATCATGTTTCTTCAAAGCCTGTTCACAATCAAGCTTTATTCTTGCACGGATGTCCTGCAGGGTGTCCAAACAGCAACAGAAAAGTAGAACACTCACTTTTTCAAAGGATAATTTTATTTTTACATCATTGGTGTTTTGCTTCTAGTGCCTATTATTTATTAGAAGGATTTTGGATATTTGTTTAAAAAAAACCTTTAAAGACAAAACATGTTTATGTATTTAGCAGACACTTTTGTCCAAAGCGACTTACAAGTGATAATCGGTATGTTGCCCCTGAGGCTAACAACAACAATAACAACAACAACTTGACATCAATCATGGAGAGGAGGGAACAAGGAGTGGACAGTAGAGAGGGGGACGGGTGCAGGGAGGGTGCTAGTTTAGAAGATGCTCTCTGAAGAGCAGGGTCTTCAGGAGTTTCTTGAAAATTGAAAAGGAAGCCCGTGTTCTGGTAGTGCTTGGTAGGTAATTCCACATTTGTGGAACGATGCATGAGAAGAGTCTGGATTGTCCTGAGCGTGGTGTAGGCACTGCTAGCCAACGATCTTGTGATGACCGGAGCGGCCGGGCCGAGACATAAGCCTTTGCAAGAGGATTCAGGTAGAAGGGAGCCGTACCATCTCGGACTTTGTTAATTGTTAATTTATTTTCTCACTCAGCAGTTTCATTCATCACTCATGCAAAATACAACCATCAATGCAAAATACAATCAACAGTCTCCTAAGTGACAAAAAAGGGGGAGGAAGAAGACGACTTGTATGACCAACCCCTTTCTACTTCATACAATATAATTTACAGAATGGCCTTATACACAAACCAAGTATAGAACTTCCTTATCTTTGTAAACAAAATCACAATAAAACTTATCAATATACTTATTCAATATTTACTTATCAATCATAGGATTCAATGATTTTTTTCTTTATATAGTCTCTTAAATTGATCGGAAGTTAAACATTTTTTCAGGTCATGATCCAGATTATTCCATAATTTTACTTCATATACTGAAATACACATTTGCTTTAATGTTGTTCGTGCAAAAACTCTTTTAAACTCAGGCTTCTTTCTTTTTTTTTTCCCATCATTTGAAATCAAAACAAAAAACTTCTGTAACTTCACTGGCAGTAACCTCTTTTTTGCCCTGAACATAATTAGTAAAGCTTTCAAATTAACCAAATCCCTGAATTTCATAATTTTTGATTCAATAACAAGTCTATTGGTATGTTCTCTAGCATCTACTTTATATAAAATTCTCATAGCTTTCTTCTGTAATAAAAACAAAGGATTAGTGTTTATTTTATATGTGTTGCCCAAGCCCCCACAATGCGGGACAGAAATTGAGTCCAATGCGTAAGTGAAATAAATTGCAGTTCCACCCTCATCCGCTGGGGGCTGGTGTCAGAAGCGAGCAAATCCTCATTGACTCCCATGTTAAAAATACCAATTTCACAGCAGAAATAAACATGTTTACAGCCTGGTACCAAAACGCGTTTTTGGTTTAAATGATCTAGTTTACACTCATGACAGCTCTGAGGGGGGTGAATTTTTTTCTCACTCTTCTGTTTAAGTGTATTAAAAGTCTAAAATTCTGTATAATTAATAAGCATCCGACCCACGTGACCGCAGAGCTAGCTCCGGGGAAAGGCCTCAGTCTGAGCCTCGGCCTCGCCTGAAAACTGTTCCGTCATTTTCAGTCTCTCAACTTAGACCATTAGTTGTAGCATTTGTG